GGGTGGGTGGGCAGCTCAGGGACCCCCCCACACACTGTGTCCCCCCCCAAATCTCCCCAGTCCCGCTCACCTCGTGCTGGAACTGGTTGAGCTGCTGCTGCAGCGACGCCTTCTCGCTCTTGAGCAGCGACGTCTCCTTGGCCTCGTAGAGGGAGAAGATGTGCTCCTCCCCAAACTCGCTGATCAGGGGGTACTGCGGCCGGGGGGCAGGGGGGGTCAGCAGGGAGACCCCCTGGCCCCAGGTGACACCCCCTCCCCAGGCCGCCCTGGCCCCCCCTCACCTTGACCTCGTACATCTTGAGGCGGCGCTTGAGGGTGGAGTTCTCCCTCTCCAGCCCCGTCAGCCGGTTCTTGATGTCGTCGTAGGCCGTGATGAGGGCGAAGTGGGAGGCCGAGCACATCTCGCCCGAGAGGTCGGTGTTGGGACTGTCCAGCCAGTCCTCGTCCGGCCCCAGAGCCTCCTGCGTCAGGATGCTGATGTCGTCCTCGAACATGGAGTCCATGTCCTGCCTGGAGGTGGGGACGGACAGACGGGGGGACAGACAGACGCTGGTCACCCCCGTGGAAGGGATGAACCCAGGCGGGGGCAGCCCTGGAGCAGGCTGGGCTGGGGGGGGGACACTGGGTGCAGGATCTGGGGGGGTGGTCCATGGATCAGCCCCCCCTAAGCCCCACCAGGTCCTGGGGATGGAGCAGGGTCCGTGTGTCCCAATGGCAAAGGGTGATGGAGAAAGGACTGACTCCCCCAGACGGACAGACAGACAGACACTGGTGACCCCCGTGGAAGGGATGAACCCAGACAGGGGAAGCCCTGAACCCTCAGAACAGGCTGGGCTTGGGGGGGGACCCTGGGTGCAGGATCTGGGGGGGTGGTCCATGGATCAGCCCCCACTAAGCCCCACCAAGTCCTGGGGATGGAGCAGGGTCCGTGTGTCCCAATGGCAAAGGGTGATGGAGGACTGTCCCCCCCGGGACCACCACCACCCTGTAGTGTCCCTCAGGGTGGTGGGGGGACACAGACCAGGATGTCACTGGGGTAAAAGGGGGGGACACAGAGGGGTGCTGGCACCCCCCAGAGCAGGACCCATCACCGCCCGGGTGCTGGGATGGCAGAAAACATCCCTGGCAGAGGATGTCCCACCCCCCAGGGATGGGGATGGGGGGGGGACACACACACGGTGACTTTCCCCACGTCCCCCCGGGATCCAGGGCCAGAAATAGCGTCCGGTGGCGCTGGCTCCCGCCCCGCACGCGAGCTGCTTCCCGCCCTCCCACGCAGCCCCCGCCGTGCCCTATATACCGCTCACCCCCCCGGGGGGACACCCACCCCCCGAGCTGCCCCATAGCACGGGTGGGGGGGGGTGTCTCCTGTCCATCCCCCTCTTCCACACCGCTGGGCGCCGCAGGATTTGTCCCCGGTGGAGGATTTTGAGGGGTTGAACTTCCCCCCCCAAATCCACCGCCACCTGGGCCACTCGGCACAGCCACCCCGGTGGGGACAAGGTGCTGGAGGTGGTGGTGACACCAGCACCCGTACGTGGTGCTCTGGGGGTGTGGTGCCCCCCCCCCGATCCCAGCCGGGGACCCCGTGGAGGCCGCCGGCCCCGCGCAGCCCGGGCAGACATCCGGGAGCCGCCGCCGCACAAATAATTCATGGCACAACGCGGGGAGAGGGAGGCGATTCCTGCAGGGTGATGGCTGCGGGGGGGGGGGA